CTAAACCCCAAGCAATAAACCCTAAATCCTTAAACCCTAAACCCCAAACCCTATTACAGCAGATCAAGAGTAAGGACCCTCAAGACTCGAATTACCAACTCCAACTGACCGCTCGGCTCGGCATAAAATGGCCCTCAACCTCTAAAACCCCCAACAAAAACCCGCGCAGCCATCTGGGTAGTTGTCAAAATTATGGTCCCTTTTTGGGGTACCCTAAATAATAGGTGCCGTATTATAATAAGGACCCCAAAAGGGACCATAATTTTGACAACCACCCATCTCTTTTTTGCTAAGGCTTAAACATTGAAACGCGCAGATTCCTCTCGTCCCCAGCAGTGCACACAGCCGAGAACCGGCATCTGGGCTTGTTTCATGCAACCTATGCTGAGGGCACCTAAAAGCCATCAACTCCACGGTGTAGCGGGTTCCTTAAAAAGGGAGGGCCCATATAAGGGTTCGTAGCGGGTTCCTTTAAAAGGGGGGGCCACATAAGGGTTCTATAAGGATACTATAGGAATTATAGGGGTTCTTTAGCGGGTTCCTTAAAAAGGCGGGGCCCATATAGGGGTTCTATCAGGATCCTATAGGAATTAGGGGTCCTTTAGCGCCGGATGGAGGCTTTAGGGCCTTTAAGGGTTTAAGGTTTAGGGTTTAGGGTTTAGGGTGAAGGGTAGAGGATTTGCTTCGCAGATCCTCTGTGAACGATTCTTCGGGTCTCTAAGTCTTTCAATGCTAAAACCCTAAGGGTTTACGGTTTAGGGTTTAGGGTCTATAGGGTGTAACCCTAAGCAAGTAGTTGAGAATCTTCTTTTGAAGGGCGTGGGATTGAGAGGGAAGCTTCGGGTGTGACTATCTCGCCCCCACGGGCTTCTTCGCATCCGACGGATTTAACCCAAAAGGTCCTGCATAGCTACTATACTAACGTTACAAAGTTACAAACAAGGCTCCCTGAAACTACTACGAATTACGATTCTGATTCTGTGTAAGTATCCCCCCTTATGGACTCACTCAGGACCCGTTGGGCAAGCCGCAGTTTGAGGCGCTAAAGCTCCCTCTGAGCCCGTTGGTTTGGGGTTTTGGCTTCAAGCCTTATGCAGACCTTGCGAATCTTCTCAAGAAAACATGGAGGTTTACGATCACGGGCTGGGTGTTAAGACCCCTCTGCTTGGTGGCTTTCAGCGCCAACTCTGGAGAAATTGTGCGTTAGATAAGTGCCAGGGCAGCTGGTTGCCGCTCTGCTCGTCCAAAAAAAAGCACCGGGGGTCCCCTTAGTCGCGCATGAGCATCTGTGCCCAAACGGCCTTTGCTGTTCCGAAGAGATAGATACCGTGAGTTGAAAAGGGCGTGTGAACTGTTGAACCCTGAACCATGAACCCTCCATCCCCCTAATTCTCCGGTGGCTCTTTGAAGTCTGCAGGTCTGCAGCAGCTCGGGACCCCCTGTTTTTCTACCGAAACAGATGGTATATGGATCTTGCTGCCCGCACAGAATTGAAAACGGGCTGTGAGAGGACGATGTGTCCGGATCACATTGAGCCACCTGAGCTGATATGCGGCGTCAGAGGTTGCTTTCCCTCAGGGTCCATGTACCCAAGTAGTTAGGGTTTAGGGTTTAGGGTTTAAGGTTTAGGGTTTAGGGTTTAGGGTTTAGGGTAGTATATACTTTGGCCCCAAAGTACCTATATAGGGACTACTTCGAGGCCAAAGTAAATACTATTTGGGTACATGGACCCTTAGGCTTTGCAATGCAGGAGTATCCATAACTTAGGCGGGCATGTGAGAAGTTCTCACAGGTCCGAGAACCCGACCGAATCCCCCCAAACACAAAAACCCTATAACCCGAAGGAAGCTGAACGACTGAAGCCTGCAGCAGCTAACATGATTGTAGGTTCTTGGGTGTACAGGGTTCTGAAATTTTGTGCTCGCAGCAAATGCTGTCGAAGACGTAACACAAACACACGCACACAACGAATTGGAACGACCGCTCGCCCGAGGTCAGGGCCAATTTAGGAGGTGACCAGTCCCTTCAGACGATTCGCACACCTGCATTGGGAAAGCTGTGTCGTTGCTTAAGCCCTACCTATAGTCTCCCCTGTAGTTCTTTGACTTGGCTTAACCAATTACTTTTTTAGGATCGCTATAAGGTGAGACTAAAGGTAAGCCCTACATTCTGGCTGAGGCTCTCGGAATATCAGGCCACGACTTTCTCTAAAGCTTCGGAGCGCAAGCTAAATGAACGGTTTGTAGGCATTGGTTTCCCAGCGCCCGCTGGAAGGGTACTGTGAACCCTAAACCCTAAACCCTAAACCCTGTAGGTACTGCTGTGAGACCTGGGGGGGGGATCTGACTTGTGAAAGCGTCCTCTGGGCTCAGGCTCCGGGTTTAGGGGTTTAGGGTTTAGGGGTTTAGGGTTGAAGGGTTTAGGGTTTAGGGTGTTTGGGTTTAGGGTTTAGGGTGTGCTTAGAGTTTAGGGCATATTGTAGGGGCCTTAGCAGTTAGAGTAGGGTATACTTGGAAAAAGGAGCCCTACGGAGTCATGTAGGTACTTATTTAGGCCCCTATTTTGTGTTGGTGGGAATTGGAACCAGAGTTGTCTTAATCAGGCCCTAAACCCTAAACCCTAAACCGTCAATTGAACCTGCACCCTGCAGTCCATGGCCCTCAATTGGGTTTCTCCTGCCGGCAGCCCTAAACCCTTAGCATCAAAATAGCCCAAAAGCCTTTTATAATAGGGTCTTTGGGCCCAAAAGCCTTAAAAGATGAGTCCTTGGAGTCCTAGGGAAACACGGCAACCCTCCAGGGAAAAGGGGGTTTGGGCTTACAGGGCTCAGGTGTTTAGGGATTAGGATCGCTTTGAGGTGGCCAAGCTACATTGAACGAAACCCTAAACCCCTAAACCCTATATCAACCCTAAGCCCTAAAACCCCTAAACCCTAAACCCTAAACCCCTAAACCCTCTATCAACCCTAAGCCCTAAAACCCCTAAACCCTAAACCCCTAAACCCTAAGCCCTAAAAACCCTAAACCCTAAACCCTAAACCCCTAAACCCTATATCAGCCCAGGGTTCTGAAGACGGACAGCGACAAACCCGAACTCTTTGCCCCCAAAGCCCTGGAGCTCTTAACCAAAAAATCCCCATATGGACCGACCAGATGAACCCTCAACCCTAAACCCCAGAAAACCCCAAACCCTAAACCCCTAAACCCTAAACCCCGAAACTCCTAAACCCTAAACCCCTATATACCCCTAAACCCTAAACCCTATATATATACCCCAAGCCCTAAACCCTGTCTACCCCAAGCCCTAAACCCTACATAGGGACCCCTGAAAGGAACCCAAAGTTCCCTTAAAGGGCGCTTCAGGTTTCCTTTCAGGCGCTTCATGGGTTTAAGGTTTAGGGTTGAAGGTTTAGGGTTTAAGGTTTAGGGTTTAAGGTTTAGGATTTAGGGTTTAAGGCTTAGGGGTTAGGGTAAAAGGTTTAGGGTTGCAGTTGAAGGTTCCTTTACAGGAACCCTGCACCCTACACCCCAAACTCTTTAACGGAACCTTGAGAGATGCCCTCGACATGTCGGGGCCCTCGCCTCTCCTTCAGCTTTGGGTCCTCGCTCTTGTCGTAATACTTCTTGCACTCCTGGGGGGGGGGGGGGGGGGGGGNNTAGGGTTTAGGGGCTTTTAGGGTTCAGGGTTTAGGAGTCAGGGCTTGGGGTTGAAGGTCTTTTAGGCTTTTGTTGGTTTAGGCTTTTCAAGGGCTTCGTGGCTAGGATCGGGCTTCTTCTTCAGGGTTCTGTACGAGCTCTCAAGCATTCGCCATGAAAGGGTTTGGGGTTCAGGGTTTTGGGTTCCGTACGTGTTCTTTCCTGCAAGAGGTGCTCGGGCTCGAGTGTCACAAGAGTGCGGTGCCAGGTCTGTGGGTTCTTGGCCCTTGAACTTCAAAAAGAAGCCCTAAATCCCTAAACCCTACAGAACCTAAGGGGTTTAGGTTTAGGGTTTAGGGGGGTCCAAGTACCTAATAATAGAGCCTACACACACACCTACATAACTACCATCCTGAACCCCAGTACCTAAATATTTTTGTCCTTTGGAGCCTAGCCTTATAAGGGGTGTATAGGGTTTAGGGTTTAGGGGAATACTGATCGTACATGGTCGTAAGCTAGGCCGAACTTTCAGGGAGGGCTCTCTAAGGAATCGGTTCGAACCTGGCAGCCCAAAACCACGAGAAGCAGGACACCTGTAATACAGGGGGGCATAATACTTAGAATGGGGTTTGGGGGTATATTATACAATAACTACAATAATAGGAAGCCCCAAACTAGTGTTAGTACTTATTTAGGACCTCTTTGAAGTCCCACTTCTCCATCGTCGCCATCCCCTTGCTCGTTGGACCCCTGAACCCCGAACCCTGAACCCTTAAACCCTGTATGGGTAGTTCTCTAAATTAGGGTCCCCTTTTTAGGTCCCGGATATAGTACGGCACCCTTATACAAAAGGACCCTAAATGGGATCATAATTTGGCGAACTACCCATAAAGAAAACATGGAAGCCCTATCTGTCCTCGACGTCTTCTTTGCTGCCGAGGACGATGGGAACTCGCTGGTGCACGTTCACCGGCGGGATGTCCATGACACGGCTGTGCCTCATTCGAGTTTAGACTTCAAGGTTTCTTGTCTCCATGAACCCTCAACCCTAATCCTAAACCCTAAACCCTAAGCCCTAAATCCTAAACCCTGAACCCTAAACCCTAAACCGCGAGATGAACCCAACCCTAAAACCCACGTAAGTACATAGTCAGTATACACTTTGAGCTTCAAGGGCTCCTGTTTAGCCTATCTCCGCCAGCTTCAGGACAAACATAAAGGCTACAAGCCTTTAAAGCCGTACAACCCCCCGCAAAACCCTTACAACAGCTTCAAGAAGGCCCTCATGGGTACTTTGGCAGCTGCAGTTTGCGTTTTGGCTACTGGCTCCGGGTGGCTATACCCATAGGCCCCATAGGAATCCTATAGGGTAATCCCAAAAAGGAACTACTATGGGGCCTATGGGTAGAGCTTGTACTGAAGGTTTGGGTGGGAGCTTTGGATCTGAAATCAAGGGCTGTGGCTTTGGGGTGTGTGAGGTCTGTTGAGGCTTGTGGCTGAATATTCTTGATGGTGGCTGCAACACCTCCGAAGCAGAGAGCTATGTACAAGCCGGAAGAATTACAATGAGTTTTTTTTTGGGGCGGGTTGTCTTACATAGTGATAGTAAGGAATCCTGAGGCACAGTTGCTGTAATTGCACAAGCTTCCATATTCAAGAACAGCATTACACCCCAAAACCCTTAACCCCAACCGACAACCCTAAACCCAAAGCCCCACGCCCTAATAAGCCCTAACCCTAAACCCTAAACCCTAAACCCTAAGCATTTAAAGGGGGGCATGGCTGACTTGGGCGCCCGAGGGTTGAAGCTCCCATAATTTTTCCAAGGAGGCATTAACAACCTCCCTCCGGTGTCTGGGCCCGCCAGATGTTTAGGGCTTAGGGTTTAGGGTTTAGGGTTTTGGGTTTAGGGCTTAGGGTTTAGGGTATAGGGTCTTAGTAGGTCTCAGTCATGTAACGATTGTTCTTTGCAAAACTCAGGTGCAGGCTCCGGGAAAGCGAAGATTGAGGGCCCCTAGTTCCAGGAAGAACCGCGGTGGTCCCAACCATGAAGGGAAAAAGGTGGTGCTCTGGGAGTGGTGGCGGCTGACGATGCTCATGAAGTACTTCAGCTTGTGGACGGTGAATTCCCCTTCGTCTTGCAGCATCCGGGCACAGTTCGCCCTATCCGTCGACCACACGTCCTCTTCCATGCCGGGCACGTACGTGGATCTGAAGAACAGCTACACCTCGCGCTCGCCGATGTACCCCAAGTCCGCTCTGGCGTGCACTGCGCCGTGTTGCTCACATGGTTGAAACTTCCTGGTGTCTTGAAGACGGTTGCGACGTCGCGATCTTGGGCAGTATATTTCTGCCATAATTCAACGGTAATCGATGCTTGTCCGGTAGGCTGCGTGCCCCCAACCCTATCTAGGGCCCCAGTTACCTAAATCTGAGTGGAGAGTGGGTGTAGAGCCCTACGATACTCCCCAAAGTGCCCCCGCAGAGTCGGCACCAATAAAGCCAGCTTGATGTATACAGTGTAGGGGGCTTCCTACGTGAACCCTAAACCCTAAACCCCACTAACCCGACCTGAACCCTAAACCCTAAATCCTAAGCCCCACTAACCCGACCTGAACCCTAAACCCTAAACCCCACTAACCCTACCTGAACCCTAAACCCTAAACCCTAAACCCCACTAACCCTACCTGAACCCTAAACCCTAAACCCTAAACCCCACTAACCCTACCTGATCCCTTTTCCGGCCAGGCAGCCCGGTGGTGGCAAGGCCCCCAGCCTGGCGTGGACAAGGGCTTCCCGGCCGAGGGGTTTAGGGTTTAGGGAGTTTAGGGTTGAGGAAGTTTAAGGTTTAGGGAGTTTAGGGTTTGGGAGGTTTAAGGTT